TTGCCTCGCATAGCTGATTTGGTGTTGACACAAGAGCAAGATGAATTTCACTGGAATCTCACCCCCAATGGGGTCTTCTTGGTCAATTCACATTACATAGCTCTTGTTCATACGGGCGTCCCGAATATTAATAGACGTATTTGGAAGATTAAAGTACCGTTAAAAGTAAAAGTTTTCCTTTGATACTTACGTCGGGGAGTAATTCTAACCAAGGATAACCTAGCTAAGCGAAATTGGAAAGGTAGTAAAAAATGTTGCTTTTGTCATAAGGATGAAACCATTCAGCATTTGTTCTTCCAATGTCATCTATCTCGTTTGGTATGGTTCGTTATTCATATGGCCTCTAACTTTCAACCTCCTCGAAATGTTACTCATATGTTTGGGCGTTGGCTTTTATGTGTTCCTAAAGAAATGAGAAATCTGCTTTTGATGGGTGCAGCAGCTCTCTGTTGGTCCATTTGCCTAAGCAGAAACGGGGTTATTTTTTATAACAAGTTAGTGTCTTCTCCTTTACAGGTTATTACTCTAGTTACCCGGTGGCTACGTACCTGGGCTATCCTCCACAAACCGGGATTGCGGGATACTATTGCGGTGGTATCTCGACATTTGGACCAGGTGGCACGAGATGTTTTTACCCAGGAGCATGGGTGGCGATCTAGTCTACAGATTGATAGTCACTAATATCTATGTTTCGTGATGAGGGTTTAATTTTATCCTTTTATTGGCTGTGTGCATTTTATGCAGAGGCCGGGGGTAGGCTCAGTTGGAATGTATCATCTTAGTATATTTGACAGAGTCTTAATAAAACTTCCATTATCTTAAAAAAAAGTGAGTTTTCATCTCCAGGCTACTCACCTTCCTCCTCCCTCAAGAAACCACGTCATGCTCATCCATTAAGCAGTGCCGTCTCTTCCAATTCCTCCCTCCCATTAATTAATCCCTTCCTCTCTCTAATCAATATATCTCTTTTAAATGATAAAAACTGAATAAAATTGATGAGATGGATCCATTTTTCAATTTTCCAGCCACCTCTACACCTTGACACACAAGTCAAGCACACTGAGCTCCTGCTCAAGCAGCCTCCTCTTACAATTCTCTACAAATCACTAGCTTCGCCATCAATTTCTCCTCTTCAATGCAAAAAATTGAATGCTCTTCAATTTGCCAAAACCATTTCTCTAATTTCTGCCGCCACCTCTCCATCTCCTGGTTGTTCGTCTCTCCTCTTCTCCTCTATAAATACCTGCTACACACCTCCTTCATCTCCCTTTTGTTCGACGATCACACCATCGCCCATGTCGTTACTGCCACTGCTCATCATCGCTTGGAGAGCACGAGGCGCTACCCTGGAGAGTGGAGATTGAGCCAGCACCGCCGTCGCAGCCTGAGAGGGCACAGGCCGATCATCATTTTCTCCTGCAACCTTGTTGAGAGTGCCACCTCTACTATGTCCAAGAGCTCGAGCCATCTCGCCATCCATAGGAGCTTCACCCACTGCCTGTGAGCACCATGGTTGAGGCCGGCTTCATCTTCCCTAGATCTAGTGCCATCTTCCGTCAAGCCGCCACTGCTCCTTGGTGTCGACAACTCCTGTGTCGGCGTCTCCACTTCCATCTCCTCTGACTGCAGCTGCCATCCGCCAGCACCACCGTCTCATGAATTTGTACCATCATCGCACGAGCATCATGCAGCCATTTCTCGGTCTTGATCACAAACCACATCATCGTTGTCTTGTTTCCAAGACAGCCACCACCTCAACGTCATCATCGGTGGTGAATCCCCACTGCTCTTTCATGTGCTATTGTCGTCGCCTCTCTACTTCGCTCTCCTACCAACATGCTTACGCTTGGCAATCCTGAGCGCCATACAAATCAAAGCCGCCGCTGTTCGGTGAGCTTCATCGCAACATTGTCACCATTCCATTTCCAGTCCCATCGTCGTCTTGGGACATTAAAGCACCATTGCGCGACCATCGTGCCACCACTCCTCTGTCGCAGTAAGCACATGCACCACATTCTAGTTCTTCATTATTTCCTCCTCCTTGTTCACCATTTGGTGTTTGCACAGGTCGAGACGCTATTTCCCACTGCTGCTCTGCTACTACGAGGTTGAGTTTCATCGCCATGTCATGGTCGTCCTGTTTCCAGCACCGTCGTCGTTTCCGGAAGCCCAAGTCATTCCTGCCTTCTTTTCCTTCCTGCTCGTTGCCAGAACATTGTTGCTTCCTCTTCTCTTCGATGGCAGGTAAGCACCTGCACCCCATCCACATCATGATTCGTTTCCTCCATTCAATATAAACAACTACATCACTATCATCATTTAGCTCCATTTTTCACTGTCTGTGCAACTCCCGGCTAGGTATTCACCTCTCCTTTCCTCCTCTATATATACGAACGTCACAGCTGTCTTTTTCTTTTGCTCATGCATGCTGAGATGCTCTCTGCTCTCCTCTCCTACCATAGTGCAGCCACAACAAACTTGAGCAGCCTACAAATCAAAAGCATCATAGCAGGGAGGTCTAGTTTCGCCGCATCATGTCCGTTCTATCTCAAGCGCCTCCAACGTCGGTGCTGCTGCATTGGAGCTCTCCCACTTCGCTTGTACGCCATTGCCATGCTGCTGCAACTGCTCACTATCGTGGAAAGCATAGATGTAAGTTCAAGTGCTTTAGTTTGGTTTTGGACTTTGGTGATTAATGACGAATCTATTTATATGAGACTGTCGGAGGGTGTACTCCTCCACCAGTGAACCGTGAGGCCCCCCTCCCCCCCCCCTCCCTTTTTTCAGTTCGGCCGGGGGCGGTGATTGTAGTTTTGAGGGTTTCGCTGTCCAGTGTGCAAGAGAGGGGGTTCAACCCCTCGGGGGAAAGGCAACGGTGGTTTATACAGGTTCGGGGTGCTGAGAAGCGTAATACCCTACTCATGTGCTATGCTCACTGAGAGAGAGATTACAAGATCTCCTTGTTGGAGTAGAATGTGTTGATGATGAGGGGCAAGAGACTATCTTAGTCAAAATGGCTCATCCCCCTCCCACAGTAGGCCAGGACCTCCTTTCATATCTCAAGGGGTTACCACAGGGGACCACCGAGCCTAGCTGGGGAGGATAATCATACTAAGCACATGTCTCGTTGCTTGCCTTGAAAGCCACTCGCATGCCTTGCTGCAGTGCGGGGCCCATCAAATCCTCTCGCCTGACACAGGAGACACAGCCGTCATTCGGCATTTAAAGAGTGAGGACTTTTGGGTCCTCATTTGTACCGGGAGATGGGAACCCTGCCCTAAACGGATTAGGCAAACTGTCTCCGGTAGACGTTAGAGGCTGATCTGCCTCTCACAATTGCGACGTGACGGTGGGTGTCAGGCGGCAGGACGCCTGACATGCAACCAGCGCGCAGGCGCACTACCCCGGCCATGTCAATCATCGGTCACAGACCGGCCTGACACACCACGCCGCAATAAATGCTGCGTGCGGAGCGCTCGCTCAGACCGCCTTAAGTGCGGTTAGGTGGGCACTAGGAGCGCCCGTCTGGCGCGGCACACGTGGCGCCGCGCAGTGGGGGTCGGGGTGACCCGACCCCGGGGTGTGTGAGGAACGGCTGCCGCCTTGCCTCGGGCCGAACCCCCTTGGGGGAAGGCCACGTGGCCACCAAGGGCAGGCCCTTCTTCATAGTCTGGGTACCCCCGGGCCCATATCACCGATAGAGACTAATGTTCCTATGAGTTTTTTTTAGTCTCATTGTGATATGGAAATAAAAACAATAAGTCTTATTTGTATATGAAAGTGAAAATGATGAGAAGTTTTTCCCCGATGATGAGATGTGGTAGATATGCATTCTTTGGTGGTGGATCTTAATCATGACAAAGATGAAATGCATGGAGATAAAGCGATATGTATCACTTCTTATCTCATACTTTTTGATAGATTCATATATATGATTTCCATGTTATTGTTATATAAGTGCGAGACTAATGTTTACTTGAGCATTTTCTTATTTAGTGTTCTTTACATTAAGAACATGGAGATGATAAAGGTATGTGTTTATGTTTGTCTTTATCATTGCTACATACCTTCTCCATGTGTATAGGATAAACCCCATTGGTTCTTCTCTACTTGTGCATACACTTGCCTCTCTTATATATTTCTTTGTATGAATATATTTAGGGAGAGCAAATCTTATACATTTATTGTGCATGTTCTAGATACATGTTGTTCACCTATTATTTATATTGGATCTTTGCACTTAAGCTTGCATGCAAGTATATGATACTTGTGGTGTTAATGAATACTCAATAAACATTCATATCTTTCATAGGCAACCGGTTGGTCATCAAGTGGAGGATGACAAACGATTTATTAGGACTAATGTCTTCCTTTGAGTTGTGCAAAGGAATAGGTCCCAACATCCATGTGTGTGTGCATGCTCAATTGATAAAATCTTGATACAAAATGAACATAGATCAGTAAATCATGGATTTGTTGGAAGATCATATATATCATTAAAAAGGAGATTGAATAGATACTAAGAAATCACAAATATAAAATTTGTTGAGCTAGAAATGCCATATGTATGTGGAGGAAGAACATATGAATATATTCAATTAAGAATAATAAATATGTTTATTCTATATTCATATCAAAATAATACTGAAGCTAAAGATAGAGTGTTTAATTAACATGTAGTCTCATAATCAGATCTATCTTTAACCTCCGAAGCAAATTAATGACACGTATAATATAAGGTTATTAAGGGGCCATTTGGCTTGACCTTAAGTTTGCACTGGGGTAAACCCAAAAGGAGTAAACTTCTCAAAACCTTCATTTTAATTTTAAAATTTATTACCAAGTAAAAATTAAAACAAATGATGAAAATGGAAAGAAAAATGTATGTTTGGTTCCATTGTATGATTGATAATGGGCAAGGGTGATCCTTGCCATTGAAGGACAGTTAATTTTGGATCTCATTGAAGTAATAAAATCATGCAAGGTAAACTTCAGACAAATACAACAAATAATGGTGCATTGCAGAACACATATTGCATGAAAATTTTCTGAACAGACTCTGCGCTCTGGCACACTGAAGATATCAGACTATGTACACTGACATTTATAAAATTGTCTTATGCTAGTCATCCAACATTTTTCGACTTGTATTTAACATATCACTACCATGTAATTAAACAGCAAAAGTAAGAAAAATTCTTATCTTCATCTGATTCCTTGTTCACTTTGCTTTCTGCCAAGAAAGCATAGGCAAGGACTACCATCTGAAGTCCTAACTGGACAAGATGTATTGGCTTTCGACAACTACTAATGCTACAGCTTTACAACTACAGTATTCTGCAACATAAACCTAAATGGCATGGAGTGCCTACTTGTTCTAGTAATTGGAGTCCAGCAAATTGCAGTAGATTAGCCAGCCATGTCGCATATAAGAATCCATTGTTCAGGCCATTTCTGCAAATCCCACCAAAGCTCCTTCCCGCGGATCAAATGAGATTATATGTGGTTCTAAGCAACTGAATTGGTCAAAATTTGGCTCCTGAGAGTGAGGGTTTAACTGAAACTGCTATATCACCATAGGCTGCTTCTTGTTCAACATCAATATAATCATAACTCTTTAGAACCTACAGAAAGAACAAACATACGATATGTCAAGACATAGTGTGGAAAGTGACTACAAATTATGTCCAAAAGGGAAATGTAACTTGCAGTTTAAATGGTACCAGTGTTTCAAAAAACATGCGTGCAGCTTGTTTCCTGTGTCTCCCTTCCAAGATTCTGTTCAAGATAAATTTACCAGGTTGGTCATCTGATGTAGCCGAAGCCATTTGATCTTTGAAGTACTGTGCCACAGCCCTACAATGCAGTATGAAACATGTCAGAATTCACACTCAAATGGTAACATATAATGAAATCGTCTATTGGAACTTATCCCATACCTTGTCCTAGCAGACATGCTTCCCAATCCTGTGGTGCCAGTACCTGCGGTAGATATTACTCCAGGAGTACTCATGAGGCTAGGAATCTCGGGCAAATCTCCATCAAGTTCATCATTAAATGGAAAAGGAGAAACTTGAGGATCAGAGTCTTGTCCAGGTGACATGTAACTCATATCTGCTGGTGTCCCAGAGGCAGGAGTTTCTCCAAGTCTTGATTTCGGAGTTCCACCAGCACCAGGAGTTTTGAAAGGAGAATTGTCGTCTCTTATTGGAGATGGAATATTTTGTGGCGAGAATCGAGGGATCTCAGGCATATCATCAAAGTGTGACGTGCCTGCTTCGCCTGGAGACTTTGGGTTGAGCTCAGGTTCAGGCTGTCCATCCGCATTTCTTGGAGATTGTGGATTAATCTGAGATTCAGGTTGTGCCTCTGCATTTACAGGAGACTTTGGGTTAAGCTCAGGTTCAGGTTGTCCATCTGAATTTCTTGGAGCTTGTTGATTGAACTGATGTTCAGGTTGTGCATCTGTGTTTCCAGGAGACTTCGGGGAGAGTTGATGATCATGTGTATCCTGAATACTGTCATTAGCTACCCCAGGAGTATGCTCGACAGATCCTGACTCAGCTTCAGGGTCAATCACATGGGGGAAGGTTCTCTCGTAGGTTTGACGTAGGGTAGCGCACATCCCTGAAAGGAAGAGCAAATTTGAGCTGACATTGTTTCAGAAGTGAAAGGACCATCACTAGTGGAATCAGAGAGTATGGTAGCTTACCATGGACCAAAGGATCAAGCAAGAAACCATCCTTTTGGCGAATCCTGTTGAATTTCCACACATCCACCGCTGCTTGAGGCAGTTTCCTCCTCTTGCTGACCAGACGATGTAGTTCACCGCCATCAATTTGTCTCTTCATATAACTGTGCAAGAGAGTATGAGGTCTTATCATTTGTAACTAATACAGTATAGTACCACCAGATATCATACTGTTGTTGCAATTAATCCCCATCACACCTAGCACTACGATGGTAAAAAGTTCATAGCCTGACTTGTATTTTTGAACAGAACAAATCCCATACAAATATATCAAAATTATTAGACGAGTTAATTACCGGTTGATAACAGCACACATAGAATTATTCTATTTATAGATAAGCTGTTTAGAAAAACAATATTCGAAGGGTGGTGTAGGTGAGGGGACAGAGTAATAGGATCAGAGGAGACAGGACATGGTAGAAATGAAGATGTCATTTGGTAGATTTTAAACAAAACGCCCAGGCAAGACATAGTACAATATGAATTTCAAAAATTCATCGAAGTCCTGGTAAACATATAATATTTAATTTGAGGTTATTTCCACCAATGAACTTTGCTTAAGAAGATAATTTGTAAAGTCGAACTTACGCATTGGAGAACACTATTTCATTGTCATATCTAATTCTCCTCTTATCTTGTGCTGGGTGTGCATTCATCTCATCTTGTACTGGTTGTGCGTTCATCTCATCTTGTACTGGTTGTGCGTTTATCTCACCTTGTACTGGTTGTGCATTCATCTCATCTTGTACTCGAGGTGGAGATGGTTCAATCCTAAAATCAGGCATTCCTAAAATCACAGAAGGAAAAGAACTTGGATGAGAAGACATGTTTAACATCAAGGGAAAGTACATTTTACACAACATTCTAGCATCCCACATAAGTAATGCTGGTGGAATTGCAATGTAGTCTTATTTCTATTAGGTCTTATGAAAAAATGAAGGCAGAAAACAAAACTGGAAAGAACAAGATGAGTCAACAAGCAAAATACTAACCAATATCCATTGGTATAACATCTTCTATATTGTCATATGTGGTGCTTGTACTTCCTCGTGCATTGGGAATGGATGTCCCAGATAATCCACCTTGACCAGGGGATATAGTTCGTTCCAGTGCCGGAGGGGTGATATTCTTGGACACAAATGGTGAAGATTCCTCAGTCACATCCATGGGATCATTGTTTACCTCATCAATATCTGGCAAGTTAAGTTCAGGGCCCTCAAATGGTGCTTCACGCATTATTTCAGGTAAATCTGGTGCTTTATCTGCCTGATTTATGTTACTGGTGTTCACTGCCTCCGAGTTGTTGCCTTGGGAAGGATCTACGGAAATTTCCTCATCCATATTGTCACTTGGCCCAAAATCGATGTGAAATGGAGGCAATCTCCTGATAAGCAAAGCGGACATGAGTCCACCAAAATAGAAATTAGAAGGAAAAAAAACATGACACGTACTCTTCGTCAGTTGGTTCAGGTCCCATGTGTGAAGATTGTCCAGGAGCTGATAGCTCTACTCTAGCATCCTACACAATTTATAAGCACAAATATTAAAAAACATGCAAACTAAACAAGCCTGCAAAAAGCGCAAGTCAGTGAGGAATACCTCATCAAGATCAATCATCAGATAGTCTCCTTCTGCAGCACCAAAATGAAATCATTAAGCATCCGCATTGGAATGATAATAATACATATATTGACTAATTGAACTTCGTATACCAGCCAGGGTGATCTGGTCCAGACTCTTCCGATGATTATCTGGCGTACTGTCAGAAAGTTAACACAATAATATTAGTTGAGGTTGTATGACGCGGAGAAAATATATGAGAAGAAAAGTACTCACTCTATCAGACGAATTGCATCATCTAGGTTTATGTCATCAAGACGGAATGTATCAGGCAATGTGATGGTGTCAAAAGGCGCATGATCCGCATGAAGGGGCAGATCTACTTGTACAGAAGCGAAGGCGGTTCTGATTGTGCTTAGCATCCGGTTACAGTCATGGAAGAGGTAGTTTACCTTCCATGAATAAATGCGAACTAGACCTAGAAGAAGATGCCCTGACAACCTCAGAGCAATTGGAACTTCAGGGAACATGATAAATTCTGAAAAAATAAAACTCATGCATTAGAAGACATGGCATTAGGTTGCAGAGTAAAGCATAGGGAAAATTCAATGTATATGAGAAAATTGTTCAATACTTAACTAAGGAAAATATGTAACCTATTTTTCTCAAAAATGCGGGAGGACTGAACTTCATTTCTTTAAGAAGAAAATAGATAGAAAAAGAGGAGGTTAAACTGACAAACACACCCAAGAACACGCTCACGTGCACAACACCTAAGGGCGACACATGACCTCACTAAGCAAACACAAACTAATTGCCAAGGGTAAGCGACCTGCAGAAAAATGTGACCTATTCAGCATGCCATTATAATACAAGTTCTTGCAAAGCACAGTTCGAAGTTGAAATAAAAAAAATTGTCACACTTTCCTCCCAAAGAGAATAAAAAAAACTTCCCATAGAGTATAGACATCTATGCCCAAATATGCAATATTAATCCAGTTGTTTTACTTCCAGTCAAAAAACATGTTTTGTTCTAATAAAATTCCATCAGTAAGCTTCCTAAACATAAGGCTTATCTACTTTGTTCTTGAGTTTGCAAGGTTAAATATGTAAAGTTAATCACAGAATAAAGTAAAAACTGTTACATAATGTACTAAAAGAACAATGCAAGCACAACAAGCCAGTTTATTTGTCAATGTTCTATGATTTGACTGGATAACATATAAACTTATTTGTGTAATTCATATAAGTAGAACAAACATATATGAATTACTCTTCAAATAGAGTGGCTCAAGTAGGCAGTGTTCCACCGCAAGTGATTATACTGTACTGGGAGGTAAAAAATTGGGTTTGGTCGTTCTTTTTTTTTTCTTCCTTCTGGATATGCAAATGCTGTCATTCTTGAAATGTTTAGCATCCAAATAGGGCCTGCAAAAATCCACCCAAAAGTCTCCGGTGCACACCCCACCACAACCTCCCATAACTAAAAGACCAAATTTTGTTGTATCTTTTGTCATTAATGAATAATCATGCCACTAGAACAATCATTTACACGAAATTCTAACTGATAACCAGATAAATACTGCGAACCCCTAGCAAAATGCTCTAAAAAAAACTATCCAAACCTTCTTCCTTCCTGTCCCAAATTGCAGAATGCAGATTGGGATCCAAATCTCTGTACCATCACTTGACCCCATTGCTAACCCCAAAACATTTTTCACTCACAACTCCGGAACAAATCCCAGTTGCACGGAGGAACCAAAAAAAAAAAAAAGCTTATCCTTTCTACCCCCGCCGCCGCTGAAAGGCGCCGCCTTTCTACCCGCGCAGCAACAACAAAGGGGAAAAGAAAGAGCGCGTCTTTGGGAGAGAGGGGAGGGGAGGGCTTACCGGCGTAGGAGGGGATGTCGATGCCGTCGATCTGCGGCTTCTTGATCTTGCGCTCGAGGTGGGCGGCGATCCACACCGTGCCCAGTGGGCTCTTCCGCGCAAGGATCGTGTGCGAGTAGAACATCGCGGCGGCGTCGGCTGCCTCCTCCCTCCTCCGTCTCCTCGGGGTTGCTCCTGCGGCGGCGGCGGTGGCGGTGGTGGTGGCGGCGCACGGAGAGGGAGGGGAGGGGGATGAGATGAGATGAGATTTGGGGGGGGAAAAATAGAAGTTTTGGATGAGAAGGAGTTTTTGGGAAGGGGAGTGAAGCGGGAAGCCGCTTCGTATGTGGAGTCTTTTGGCGCGCGGATTTCGGGAGCAGCGGGCGGGGTGGTAGGGTGGCTGACAGGTGGGCCCTAGCAGGTGGTTGGTTTTGGAATGTGGGGGAGTTATTTTCGTGGATGTTTTGCTTGTAGAATACTAGAATTTGAGGCTTTTACATGCCGAACGAATTTGCTGCGGTTGTTTCCCCCCATTTTACCGCTGTGGCGTGCATCAAATTACCCTTTCTAGCTATCCCCGCAAAAGAGAAAAGGAAAAGTCTATACATACTACTCCCTCCATTTCACAATGTAAGACTTTCTAGCATTGCTCACATACATATAAATGTTAATGAATCTAAACACATATGTCTAGATCCATTAACATCTAAATGAATGTGGGTAATGCTAGAAAGCCTTACATTGTGAAACGGATGAAGTAAATTTTATCTTACTAACAGTCTAACACTATGTCTCATGCTGTGAGTATATCTAGAATTTCTATAACTTCCATCTATTTAAATTAGATGGTTGATATTATTGTTTGAGCAGCATTGCTGTAGAGAAAATTACTCTTTCTATTTTCTAATAAACTAGTACTATGATGATTTCGTTCGCCGGATCACACATAGTTCGATGTTTGATGACCGTTCATTTTGTTTTTGGACATTATAATTTATTATCCACACGGGATTTTAGTTTTTACCATTTTTCCCTAAAAAAATTAGTTAATCTCACCTCTAACGCCTAATGTCTTGTGCCTTTATATCTTTGTAGATCTAATAGCGTAGAAAAATCTTACCTGAACAGCAATAGAAGAGGAAAAATAAAAGCATGAGTCTTCATTCACAGTGAAACAAGATGCAATTTGTACCCTTCCGTCCAAAAGTCTTAAACATATTTTTCCTAACGAGATGTGCATATCTATAGCCTCCATGTAACCTAGATTTAAATGAAGATGTTGTCTTATTATTTTGTTCCAAAAGTTTTAAGCATATTTTTTTCTAATGAGATGTGCATATTTATAGCCTTCATGTATCCTAGACTTAAATAAAGATGTTGTCTTATTATTTTGTAGTGCTGAATTATTGGAACTCAAGCAATTATCTTAATACTCATTGGTTATATGCATACATAGGAGTAATCCTTAGTGTTTGTTATATGCAAGATGAGTTAATTTTTCATTAATCCCATTTAAAAAGTAATATGCCCTTAGGCTTTTGGATTGAGAGAGTACAAGTGAGATTGATTAGTTGCTCATAGGTTAGATTGATTTTTTTAAGGAAAAAAAAGGAGAAATTCGGTGTACATCCCATAGAGCTTCACCAACTTATGCCCAATATAGCTTCTAATGCCTAAATTTTATGTTTTTCATAAGAAAAAAAATTGACTTCTACAGTTCCCTAATTAACTTCCCATGAAATATCTTTTCAGTCCTAGTCGCTCTCCACTAGTAGGGGAGGGTGTCGGCTTCCAATAGCACGTGCAAAATGTGGAGAGAACAATACACGTGGGAAGAAGCACACATAGGAGGTTGTGGAGAGTGATTTATGTTCCTTGTGTTATGTTGGTGATGCCTTAGAGCATGTGCCTAATAATCTCTTCCCTAAATCTTTCTTTTCGAGATTTTCTAATAAGTATTCAAGGTTAAAAATATACTTCCAACAAATAGACTAAATTTAACTCACTAAAATAAAAGGATGAACCTCCCTTCACCCAAACCTTATTTCATACCATCTTACTCCGTGATCGCTCATCCAGAATCACCTTTCCGCTCGCCCCATTTCTCGGGTGGTGGTCCTGCTCTTTAGACGGAACATTGGGAGCGATAATGATTCGTGACTTATAGAGAAGGGAATGTCAATTCTCGTAAGAAAGAGAAGAGGAATTGTTGGGGCAGTTTTTTCAGCTAAAATCCCAAAAAAATCAGGACTATGAAAGAAGCAAAGCACGGTTGGTGATGCTCTAGTTTTAACATAAGGCATCCCGAATTTTTATTTTGTTATATTCAATATCCATTTATTTAATTTATTGACAATGAGTTTACCATTAATTTTCTTTTTTTAACTATACTATAAAAAATGCCCGTGCGTTGCAACAGGTAAATGCTCTTTTAATTTTATTATTGTTGCACGGTTTAGCTAGGGTAAAATTCACTGTGGGAATTCGCTTAGATTTTTTTTTAGAAAATTATGAGCTGCGATTAGGAGTCTGTATTTCATCTCAAGTTAGCATACGAGTTTTTTTTAAAAAATTTCTCCTTTTATACTTCCAAAAGGAAACAATCTTAAAATCCAACTCAAACACGGATATGTATTTTCAAAAGTGAACAAACTTAAAAAATCAACTCAAATACAGTTGACGTACCAAAATATCAGCAAAAACATCTTCAATTTTTATAATAGTAAAGATAAAGATACATTTAAAACATATTTACAAACGGAGACGCTCACAACGCACATACCCACCACTATAAATGCACGTACACTCACCTTACCCATATGAGTACATTTGAAAGAATAAGCCAACAAACCTTAAGATTGATAAAGTCACCATAGCCGTCTCGCTATCGACAGATACATTGTCGGCCTCTTTTATATCCATTTATTTAATTTGTTGATAGTGAGTTCCATTAATTTTCTTTTTTTAACTATATAGGGCCTGTTTGGCACAACTCCATCTCCAGCTCCAGGAGCTCAGCCAAACAGTTTCAGCTCCACTAAAACTGGGAGTGGAGTTGGGTGGAGCTCTCTCACAAAATGTACTAGAGTTGTGGAGCTGGGTTTAGGCAGCTCCACATCTCCACTCCAGACTCAACTTCTGGAGTTAAATTTAGAAGTTGGAGCTGTACCAAACAGGCCCATATTTTTAAAACATATTTACAAATGGAGATTCTTACAATGCACGCTCACCCTACTCATACGAGTACATTCAGAAAAATGGGCCATCAAATTTTAAGATTGACGAAGTCACCGTAGGCGTCTCGCTATCAACAGATACATTGTCTACCACTTGTCAAATCTAAGACTCGAACGTGAGTGGATTATTCCCAACACAATAAACCTAACCAGTCAAGCTTCAGTCACTTTGCTCTTAAAAGATGCAATTCTCAAGGCAAAAACAATTTCAGATCTAATAAATCCAAGGGAATAAAATAATGTACCACAATTTTGAAAACCAAAATTTAAAATTTTCAAATGGATTCTAATAAAATTTCAGCCTTGTTCGTCATAATACACTTGTAGCTCTTCCCCGGTTTTAATAAAGTTCAACCGGAGCTATTTGCTGTCCCAGCTAGGAAAAAAAATTACCATCCTATCCAAGAATGTTGAAACCGACATTGCCAAATTTTTCAATATTTTCAGAGAGAGAAAAAGGTTTGCGTTCTTTCCTGAGCTACAAGCAGCAGATGAAATTTTTCGATAATAACAGATAAAGGTTTAATGGCATCTCGGTGCCGGAATCAATTTCCGTTTGAAATTTTGTATGGTAGCCATCATTAGCATGACTTGGGAGCACATGGAACAAAAAGTTCTCACAACAGTCGACCCATCCCTGAGCACCAAAATACTGTCTACAACAAAGAACTTGCCAAAATAGTTTTGGACCATTCCAACTTGCATTTCAAGAATGGAACACCCAACTCCCGTAAAGCGCAGTTACACATGTAGGAAACTAGGAACGATAATCTTTCACATCAAATTTCCACGATCTTCAATTACACCGACAAGGCAACGAACCAACGACCCAAAGTCGCAAGACAATTTACTCCAGCACCAGACATAAGTTGGACGACTTGAATCAGTGTCATTCCTAGAAGACGTTTATCTTGGCATAGTTGCCCCACACAATTTAAGGAAGACCATGCAGGAAATTTTTAACGAAATAGAACTTTTCATTCTTCAGCCATTGTATCTCTACCACGTGTTAGTACACCAATTGATTCCCATTCCAGGGCACAAACCACATCCTGCGCAAAAAGCAAAACAATTTTAATATCTCATTTCCAATAAAGAAAAAACTATTCAAACTGGAGAAACCTTGAACTTACAGAAGGGTTCTCAGGATCTATGTCAAAGGAGTTGATAGCGCAAGGTTCAGCAAGCAATTCAAGGGGCCTCTCATCTGCAACAAAAAGGTAACTTTTTCAGCAATTTGAATAATAGCCAACAAAAAAAATGGCACAAGTTTCTTCATATAGGCTTACCTTGTTCGACGACTGCAAGGATCCCATCCTCTGAGCACATCATCACAGGTAATATTCTCGTCGAGGCAGATGAGATGATATCAGTAGACTGAGTGTAATTGTCAAAAAGAACCTCCCAGACCTCACTCTCAGACACAGGCTGTGCTGTTCCATTAAGGCCTAAACCAGAGAGTGGTATTGGTTGCTGCGGCCACCGCAGATCCCAAGCAAATATTGTCCCTGAGGACCCTCCCACCTAAAAACATCAGAGCTGGTTCAAATTGCAGTTATGACTCTCCTGTAAACACAGCTTTTCAACTCATCTCAACTCTGAGTTCCGCAGTGATGGACCAGTATAGGTCTATTTGGCAGTTGTGAGAACATGAGTGGTCTGACACTAATTGGTAGACAGTCCAGAGACCAGTATCCCAGGTTTAAAACTGTCACCATTCTCCCACAGTTCCCCCATCATGTAAACAGTGAGAACGTACCCCTAAAGTCGTCTAGGTCCACTCCACCATTATAGACATCTTAATTCTCTGGCATGTACAGCACAGATGCACAAAAGTGCAACATAACCGCTTCCTGACCAAATATCCCTAGTTAACTATGATATAACATATTTATGTCAACACTAGGATTTCACAATATATACTAACATGTCAATATGTAATTTGAAGATAATTTTAGAAGATAACTTGATCAATGTTAAGCAATACAGATAACTGACTTTAGTTGTCACAGCAAAGATTGTTCTGATTGGAAATTTCCGATCTTTGGCAAATATAAGAAGCAAGAGTTGTAGCCAATGACTCGACAGCATTCATTCATTACAATGAATTATTAGTTACATTGCCATTTCCCTTTTTGTGTGTGTGTGTGTGTGGGGGGGGGGGGGGTTGGGGGGGGGGTATGAATAACATGGAAACCCTTGTACATAACTAAGAAGAGCTGCAAGAAATCAGTAAATACATCTGACCTAAGGATATTATCAAGGAATTAGTTGCCATTAACTCTGAAGGAGTTCTAATTATTTCAATAAAACAGCCGACATGGATATACTTTTTCTTTTGAAAAAAAGACTTTGAGAACAAATCCAGATTTCCACCTGTGCTGAAATTTTGTCAATACACTGATATATGGTTGTTTCCTCTTACGTGTATTCTATTTGGTTATAAGATTTTTGGAGAAAACAGAAACTATCACTCTCAGTGAACAGCGGACACCCTATCATACCAACTTCATGGTCCAAAGTCCAAACAGAGGCTTCTTGGTGTGTACGCAACATTCAGCTGTTTGATTAAGCTATATACCTTGGCTCATTGTCAGGGCGAGGATTATTTGAGATGAAAGGGGGTGAAGGGGGATAAATTGGATTATAATAGAGGAAGTAACAGGACTGGCCCTGGACCTAAACAGCGCAACGGAGCTAGAGCACATTGTGCAGGAAAGGCAGGGCCGGTGGGCACTAAGGCTGTGTTCGGGAGGAGCCCGGCATGCAAAACTAAGCTCGTATTATTGCATGATTAATTAAGTATTAACTAATTTTTTTGAAAAATGGATTAATATGATTTTTTAAAACAACTTTCATATAAAAAGTTTTTGCATAAATCACACCGTTTAGCAGTTTGAAAAGTGTGCGCGTGGAAAACAAGAGAGGTGGGTTGGGAAAATGGGGGGAAGAACACAGCCTAAGAGATAACTCAATCTAATGCCTCTCTGACCTGGGATAAGATCCCTCTTTATATAGATCGAGGACTCTAACCTAATCCCAACAGACTCTGACTCTATCTAACTGAGATACGTAAGTAGCGTGGGGCGGGGATATTGTTCCCATTGGGCCTGGGACTCCTGGCCCATGACACTCATCACTTTTTAAATTCTTCTATTCACGCAAGTCAACACAAATTTTCTAAGACATTGAACTTACCACACAGATATGCTTTCTTGATGGATGAATGTCAATGGAATGAACCATACCAGTGACAATGCCACGGCCCCTGCAAAATCACAAGGTCATCAAGTCAGCATAACAAGCAAATATGGCACATTACCAACTTCTGGAATAATATAAACGCTGGCATAATTATATGACATGACATTGCTAAGATTGGTACCTTTACATGTTTACAATTGATCATGAATTAGATATTAACAGTAATTCAGAAGTTTTATGCTTTTCCATCAAGTAGTGATACAAAAACCACTCATTGTCTGCAGCATACTAGCACATAAGGTTCAGCCATCCAGCCTTGTATTCCACTTAACATAACAATCCATTATATAAAAGAACCTGAATCGTCTAGCACATGAGTTCAAGATGTGCAGCCATTCAGAAAAAAAAAACCTATTTTCTGGGACATCAGATCTTGATGTTTTAGCAAATAAATCCGCCAAACATGAAACATCTCGATTCATCACCATGATAATAAAAATAATCACAAGCCTAAATCATTTTTATCTTTTTTTTCTTATGACGTAGGAGTCCATATGCTTTTTGAGGAAGACTGGAGAGTAGAGATGAATCTATATGATTTGTTGCATGATTATTTTTAAACCTAAATCTTGACAATTTAATTAAAAAAACCACAGAACTTTGAATTTTGCAATTATCAGCATACAAATCAAAATCTGCAATTTAATTAAAAAAACCACAGAACTTTGAACTTTGAGGATCACACAATTAATCAAAATCTGCACTAGTAAAGCTTAGGCTGAGCTTCTAAAAATAGAACGATAACTATTGAGCTATAGCCTTTCAGAAATGGAATGTAGAGAAGTTCAAGAATTGAGTTGCTTGTTACCCTGAAATTTTTTGAATCAAATTCCTGTGTAACAGGTACATTTCATCCATATCAGATTCGAGTGCACCAAATTTTAGGAAAGCAGAGATGTCTTGAGATGTTAGAATCCCATCAAAGAGTTACAGGAAGCTCTCCTTGCCAAAATTTTCATCAACCCATAAGCAAATAACCGTAGCAGTCGACCTAATTACGTGATGACAACAATGAGCATAACCATAACCATAAATATACATCTAGCATGTTCATAACAACAGCAGGAACATACATATCTACAGAGCAAACAACATGTAATGTACTAGCACCAATCAAATCATTGTGCGCGCATTGAGTCTCTACTCACCAATCACAAGCAAAGAAGATTTCCTTGATCCTAATTGAACCACTAATAATGTACTACTCCTACTAGCATTTACAAGCACATCAACCAACAACCAGGAACAGGAGAGATCCACCATTTCTCACACTCACCAAACGCCCTTGCACTGCGCCACCACGGCGTCCCCCTTCCTCCTGTCCCACCACTGCACGCCGCAGCCGGCGCCACCGGTGGCGAACTCCGCCGCCGACGCCCACCTGGCGGCCTCGTACCCGGCCATCCCCTTCCCATCCCACAGCCTCCTCGCCACCACCCTCCCATCCCCGCCACCGCCCACCACGTGCACCCTGCCGTCCTCCCCGGCCGTCACCCACTCCTCCCCACCGCCGCCGCAGTCGAGGCCGCGGACGGGGCCCACGTGGAACCCGGCGCCGGCAGGGACGGACACCCCGGCCGATCCGGCGGCGTCGAGGGAGGAGGGGAGGAGGTGGAGGGACCCCGAGGAGGTGGCCGCGGCGAGGACGGAGGGGGAGCAGCGGAGGGAGGCGGCGCGGGAGGGGAGGGGGAGGGCGGCGAGCGGGGAGGAGGGGTCGTGGAGCGGGAGGAGGTGGAGGTGGGAGGAGGAGGAGGAGGGCGCCGCCGGGTCGTGGACGGCGGCGGCGAGGAGGCGGTCGGAGGAGGAGGAGGAGGAGCAGGGGAGCCAGCGGATGAGGTCGATGGAGAAGGGGTGCGGGTGGCGGCGGAAGGACGGCGGGTCCGCCATTGCTGGGGTTCGGAGCGTCGAGAGGGTTTTTGGGCGGAGGAGGAAATTTTAAGCTGTGAGTGAAATTTTTGGTGAAAGATGCCCCTTGCAAAAGACTTCTTTCTCTTTGATAGATGGCGAAATCTAGAAAACAAAATTAAAATATACATGATTTCTGACGTTCTGTAATTATATACGTGTTTTTAAAAGAATTGTAAAAATATACATGTACCGCAAGATGATAATGTGGGATCGATTATTCGACGCGACACCAAAACGCGGATTGATGGCTGAAACAATCCCGTGCAGCGCTCGCGTGGTACTGCGTCAGTCCCACATGCCGGCCACGTGGCACCACGCGATCCCGCAGACTTGCTGTACGGCACCGGCTAAATGCATACCATTATCAGAAAATATGAACCGGTAGTTTAAGTATCAAATGGAAAAATGTGAAAAAGAAAATGCAACATCCTTTCCTACACTATATTCCAATGTCAAATTTATCGAGCCAATTTCGTTGAAAGAATCTCTAAATCTTACCATCCAATGTTTTTGGAAAAACATGTTGGTGCTCAATTTGGACCATTCAATAAATATGCTCTCCTCACTTCATCTAATCATCTATTGGTATCTGTTTTGTTGGATTGGTCTATTTGTGCTCTCGTCTGTTGGGGATGTATCAGTTGAATGGCTTGTAAAGTAATTAAGCTATGCTATTTTCTTCTCCATTGCAATTTGCAAATCTACCAATAAATCAAATACTACGAAATGTAAATGATAAATCCCCTCACAGCCTCATTTTTTCACTAGACAATAAAGAACTGAACAGAGCTCGCTCACTGGATGCAGGCAACCGAGGCAAGCCGCATGCCGCAAGAAGCAATGTAGCAGGCAACGAGGCAAGTTAGGCCTGTTTGTTTTATATGTAATCTAAATTATTGAGCTAGATTACTATAAGCTGGATTATAATAAGCTATAGTAGAATAAGCTATGAGTTGGTTGTTTATCTGGATTATGGTAGAATAAGGATAGTGAGTCTTTAACCACCAAATAATATGAAAAAACACGCTTAGAGGAGATTACCAGATTATACTATTATGTCTTATAGATTATAATAATCTACATGTTTATTTCAGATTACTACTAATAATCTAGATTATAATAATTCTAAGCTGAAATAAATAGGGCCTTGAGCTGAAACAAATAGGGCCTTATGGCAGCAAGCAAGCTGGAAGCAGCACTTCCTAGGCTCCTGCCTCCTGGTTTGTCCGGCCCGGCACGCCTGCACGGCCCACTGTGGGAGTTATCGTACTGGGGTAGCCCATCACAGTACTCAAAGGCCAGATCTCTAGCATGCTACGGGCCCAAGCCCATGTAATCTGTTACTATAAATGGTGAGGAATAAGGAGATAGAAACATATCCCGCCATATCTTGACGGATGGCAGGAGCCCGGATTGTAAGGGATATTGCATCCTCCTTGCCGCCGGTCACCCTGCTGCTATATTAAGGGGATCGACAGCACCCCTAGAGGGTTACACACGTTCTTCATTCAACACTCGATACAAAGATAATCCACCAAACAATTGGACTAGGTATTACCTCATCCCGAGGGCCTGAACCAGTATAAATCACTGTGTCACCATTTCTTTCTAGCATCTAGCGCACCCTATAAATTTTATTGCCGATCTTAGAAATCGACACCCACACTTGCGGGCTGCAGTGGCGCAGTCCACTTCCCTCGGCCATAATGTCATACTCGTACTAAACAAATGTATCCAGCGTTGGGGTCCCACTAGTCAGTCTTACTACCATGATAATGCAAGAAACATGTACCAGGAGAGGGATAAATGAAATGAATTGAATCTGATTCCCTCCTATTGTTCTTCTTCCTTTGTTCCCTTCTTGTTCTCCACCCGATCCCCCAATTTCTTCTCAAACTATCTGGAGTTATTAGTGTATTTGTTGTTAGTTTATATGATTCGATCTCTCATGAGCTCAGGTCATAACGTAGCCTCGCTCCGGTGTCGCTCGTCACCGTTGCGCCGGCAATCACTCGCCATTTAATGGGCTTTTGCTAAATTGGTTAATTGGGTCGTTTAGTGCATATCGGTTCAGCTCTATCACTCCTGTTCTTCTTCATCGCGTGGACAGGGACGCAGTTATTCGCCTCTTCTCTTCTCCCCGCTTTCTCCAACTGCTCCCATGTGAGAAATGCTATATGCTTGAATTTTTTTTGCAAAAATCGGAAGGCAAACTTGAGCCTGATGAAGCCTACCCCTTGGATCCGCCCCTGCCTGCAGGCAAGAAGCAGCATGCAATCATCCAATGGGATCCGTGTGCATCGGAGCCATGGAAATTTCTAAGCGCAATGCCCACTTACCAGTACGGCTACAACAATGACAAGGCAGGTAATGACATCATGGGAAGGTAACACTCCATCCGTCCATAAAAAACCAACTTATAGGATAAAATGTGATGTTTCCTACACTACTAAAGAAGAATTTTTTCAAAGGATCAAAATAGATTTTCGCATGCGGGCCTTCGGTCCTTTTGCACCCATGTGTCTACAAAGATTGCTATTTTTTTCGCATGTGGTCATCTAAGCTGACCGCACGTGAAAATAGTTTCGGCAAAAAAAAATAAAAAAAATATCAAAAAGCAATATAGCCCGAAACCCTAGCTCCCCGATTCTTCCAAAACTCTAGCTGCTACCGCCCGTCGCAGCCAACACCGCTGGTCGTCGTCGTCGTGTTGCCTCTGCCTGCCGCCGTTGCTCCCGAGGGCGAGGGCAATGGATCCGATCACCGGCTTGCTCGCTCCCGCTACCGCCGCTCTCGAGGGCGGGGTAGGGCCGTCTCCCTCGCGTCAACGGCGGGGGCGGCCGGCTAGCTACCGTGTGCCCGCCACTAGCCGTTCCCAGGAGGGGAGTTGAGGGAGAGAGAAGAAAAGGTGAGAAATGGGAGAGAAGTATAATATGAGGAGGAAGGAGGTGAGAGAGAGAGAGATGAGAGGAGATAACGATGACTTCAAAAAAAAATTGAAGTGCTGAGGGAAAAAAGGAAGTAAGTCAGACTTCTAGGCGAATATTTAAGAGGCCCGCCTGCGAAAATACATTTCATGCGACCATTTAAGAGACCCACCGAGGAAAATACTTATTTTTGCATATCACTCTCTTAGAGGTCCGCATACGAAAATAGATTTTTGCATGCGGACCTCTTAAGGAGCCGTATGTGAAAATATAGGTTGATTTTCGAAGGCGCGACCAGTTATGGTCAGCCTGCAACCTTATAGGGCCCTTGTATAGAAAAATTGTTTCTATAGTAGTGTTAGTACAATGAATCTGGACATAGAAACATCACATCCTATCCTAGATTGTTTTTTTTTATTGGACGGAGGGAGTATAGAGTAATGGAATGATTAATTTCAGCAGGATGGTTAGCGGGCGAAGAAACATGTTTCTTCAAGAGGCAACAATATCCTTTCATTAGGGACGCAACCAAAACCCAGATCTTAGGCGTACACGAAAGCAATGTGGGCAGAATAAGCGATCACGAGAACTTTAGAAGGAGAGAAAAGAATGAGCGTGAGGAATGGTCAAATTAAATCAAACCGACACACCCACAAATAAGACATGGAAGGAGAAGCGTACCAAGAAGGAAATGTCGACGATCATCTTGAAGATACACAGGATGTGCTCATGGATGTGAAGATGGTGTTTGAGCATCCGGCTGATTTTCAAACACATGAGAGTGGAGGTCGTGGAGCTCATTCTTGGTCCAAAAAATGCTATGTTTGAAAATTCAGAAAAATGGGGTGAGCACCTAAAGCCTCTGTTTTAACCTATTGGCTGTATGTTGGTTGATGGAGGTGATGGTATTGATATTTTGCCACTTTCGTTCCTTTCTAAATTAGGCCAGAAGGAGAGTGAATTAATGGAAACTAACATGGAGTGTAATGGTTTTTTGGGAGAGTTGGCTGAGGCTAAGGTGTTGTGTTATGTCTATGAAACTTACTGTTGAAAGTATATATATACTATATGCCTACTGCTTTTTATGTTCTTGATGTTATGGGTAGGTATAATATTTTATTAGGTCAGGATTGAATTCATGCAAACTATTGTATCTCCTCTACTATACATCAATGTTTGATACAATAGTTGGATGTCGATGTGGAGATGGTTGAGGCCGACAAATCATCTTGCATTGCCTTGATAGACATGGCGGTTGATTGACAATACGACTGCAATGATTGATTGGTAGAGATTTGCTGGCCTACGATTATGTTAGTATTGGTAAGGATGGTTTTGTACAAATACATGCTTAGCCAGCTAGTGTAGCTCGACTTAATAAATAATGAGTAAAAAAGATAGTATAAAGTGTTTGCAAAAGCGTACTGCGGAGTATCATTCTGCAAAGAATAATATGCATGAAACAATTGAGGAGTTTGGTGATGTGCGGAGAATCCGCTTTGGATGGTGGTTATGAAGTTTCATGCATATGGTTCTTTTCTAAATAATACTCAGTACGCATTGGCAACCACTAAATACTATCTTTTTTACTTATCACTTACAAAGACAGATTATTAAGTCGAGCTAAAATAACCGGTTTAGCTTGTATCGGCACAAAACCATCCTTAGTACTATATTAATCATAGTCTGATAATATCTGCCTATCAAGTATTGCATGTTGTTGTTCCGCTAATCAACCGGTGTGTCTATCAAGGTGATACAAGCTGAGTTATCGGTCTTAACCACCTCCATGTTAGCATTAATCCATTGCATCAAACATTGATGTAAAGTATATGTGATGCAACAATTATCATGAATCCAATCACGACCTAATAAAACATTACACTACACTTAACATCAACAACACAAAAAAGTAGTAGGCATGGTTTTTTACTTCCAACAATAATCTCTATAGACATAAACACCCTTAGCCTTAGCCAACTCCCATAAAAACCACTAAGCCCTATGCTAGTTTTCATTAATTCACTCTCCTTTCGGCCTAATTTAGAATAGAATGGAAGTGACAAATATTAACCTCCATCAACCACTATAAAACCAATATGTTAATTAGAGCCTTTAATTTAGGCGCTCACTTAGTTTTTTTAGCTTCTCAGACAAAGTGTTATTTGAACCAAGAACGAGCTTTGTGACCTCTATATCAGGTGTTGAAAAAAAATTAGGGGGAGCTCAAACACGATATTCACATCCATAAGCACATCGAGTGTATCTTCAAGACCACAATTGACATATCCTCCCTTATTAATGCACTTCTCCTTTAATGTCTTATTTGTGGGTATCATCGGTTTGATTTGATTAAATCACATTTCATGCTCCTCCTCTTCTTTCTGTGTCTTAAGTTCTCGTGACTGCAACTTGGGTATCTGTCCCTTTTGTGTACGCCCAAGATCTGGTGGACACAACTGCTGCATCTCTCGTGGAAAGATATTACAGCTGTTGCCTCTTTCTTCGTCCGCTGACCATCCTGCTGAAATAGGTAGTCCCATTGCTTTAAAATCACCTTCCCGCGGCGTTGTTACTTGCTTTACCTTGCCATCGTTGCTACTGTACGCGGGCTTCATGCTCAGAAAATTTCGCATGCCTGTCGATTAGACACTGATAAACACTGATAGACACTGATGTTCTTGGACCCAATCAGTTGATTGCTAGGCTCTCGTCCGCTACATGTGGGTTATTTTTTTTTTATCATATAGTTGGTACTTGGGGTAATTTTCAGCATTCTTCCGTCGATCCGAGGTGTTGTTTATCTTTGCCATTTCAACAATCAGGATTCTTCCACGAAAGAGGATAAATCTTTGTTGCTTTGCTTGAAAAGAATCCGTTCGTCGTTACGAAAGTACAATGGTTATTGTGTTGTCCTGTGAATTGCGTGTCAAAAGTCGGCTGGTTGGTGGCGGACGCAGAGTGTCTCCTCTAATCACATGGTCATCTGCCAGGAACGTGTACAATCTCAGATACTTACGGCCTGTTTAGTTGAAAAATGAAAATTTTAAGGTGTCGCATCGGACGTTGGACCGGATATCGGAAGAAGTTTTCGGGCACGAATGAAAAAATTAATTTCATGATTAATCCGTCATTAGCATATATGGGTTACTGTAGTATGATTAATCATAGACTAATTAGGCTCAAAAGATTCGTCTCACAATTTACATACAAACTATGCAATTAGTTTTTCTTTTTATCTGTATTTAATGCTCCATACATGGGTCCAAAGTTTCGATGTGATGTTTTTGGGAAAAGTTTTCGGGGAAACAGCCCCTTACCAATCCGAGGAGAAGTTAGATATGGTCAGCACCATCTACCTCTCTTTTTGGGCGGCCGTCATGACGATGGTGATGGATCTGACTTTGATTTGGGGTTAGGATTAGATGGGGGAGAATGTGACGGGGGTTAGGATTGGAGCGAAGAGGATTCATGTGCTGTCTTAAACAGAGTTTATTGGAGCACAACAACGAGAGAGGCATAAGAGCAAGTTTAATACTAAAACTTTCTAACATTATCCATATTTATATAGTTGTTAATAAATCTAGACACACACATATATGTCTAGATTCATTAACATCTACTCCCTCCGTTTCACAATGTAAGTCACTCTAACATTTTCCACATTCATGTTGATGTTAATGAATCTAGATATATATGAATATAAGAAATGCTAAAATGACTTATATTTTGAAATGGAGAGAGTATATGAATATGAGCAATGCTAGAAAGTCTTACATTATGAAATGGAGGGAGTAGTATAGCAAACTGTTGGCTTCAAATCATCTATGGTCAATTTAATAGCTAATTCATATAATAATCACCTATAAACATATACTACACAATTAATATCTAGTCCCACATATCATGAATTGAGATCTGGTGATGTAGTAGTAACGACTGCAACTTTAGCAGTCGGAGCACATTATAACCGTTGGATCGATGGAGCCAACGCTCCGATTCACTCTGTCATCCTGTTGTACCATTGATACTACAGTAATCGCTACAGTACAAATTTGCTATAGTATTTTATGAACAGTATTTACCTGTCATCTGAGCCGTTGATTTTTGATCCATCGGCTGCACTGCAACTGCTAAAGTTGCAGTTGTAGTAACAATTGCACCATATCTCGATCTCACCTATCATACACACATGTATTTTAGAGTATGTGCTGCAGCTGGCTATAAATCTGTAGTCTTCTCTCTCATCTTTTATCTTCTGTTTATAGCTAGCAGTATGCTATTGTACCTGCTCTAACTAACGCGTTATCCGTTCGATAGAGATGTCAAATAACAGTAGCACAGGAACTATGAGGATGAATTGTCTAGTACCACAAGTCTCGCAAGATGGACTCCTTCCAAATCTTTGACCCGCTGTCAGTTCATCATCCGTCTACTCTACTGTAGGGAGTAATCCCAAGAACACGATGTGCCACTGATGGCTCTCCGGTCACGAACACACGCATCAAAATCCATCATCCCCCTCCGCATCTCCCTTCTGCTTCTGCTGCTGTCGACGCCGCCGTGTTCCAGCTCGACGATCATCCAGCACGGCGAGGCAGAATCCCTCCTCCGGTGGAAATCCACCTTGTCGGCGGCGGCGTCAGCGTCTCCGCTGACCACATGGTCACCGGCGACCTCCAGCTCCGCCTGCTCGTCCTGGCGCGGCGTCACGTGCGACGCCGCCGGCCACGTCGCGGAGCTCAGCCTCCCCGGCGCAGGGCTCCACGGCGAGCTCCGCGCGCTCGACCTCGCCGCGTTCCCGGCGCTCGCGAAGCTCGACCTCCGCCGCAACAACATCACCGCCGGCGTCGTGGCAGCGAACGTCTCCACCAGGGCCAGCAACCTGACGTACCTTGACCTTTCCGACAACGCCTTCGCCGGCCACATACTGGACGTCTTGCCATTGTCGCCGGCGACGCTGCAACAGCTGAGCTACCTCAACCTGTCCTCCAATGGACTGTACGGTCCTATCCTGAGGTCGCTCTCCGCCATGGGGAAGATGACCGTGTTCGACGTGTCAAGAAACAGGCTTAACAGTGACATCCCTTCAGAATTGTTCACGAACTGGGTAGAACTCACACAATTCCGTGTTCAGAACAACTCGATCACCGGCAGCATCCCGCCGACGATCTGCAACACGACAAAGCTGAAGTATTTGCGCCTGGCGAAGAACAAGCTCACCGGCGAGATCCCGGCGGAGATCGGAAGGCTGGCAAGCTTGCAGGCACTGGAGCTAGCGGATAATTTCTTGACAGGGCCGATTCCAAATTCCGTGGGGAACCTGACAGACCTGTTGGTAATGGATCTCTTCTCCAACGGCTTCACAGGCGTGATACCACCGGAAATCTTCAACCTGACAGCGTTGCGAACCATCGACGTCGGCACGAATCGATTGGAGGGTGAGGTTCCTGCATCCATATCATCCCTCAGGAATCTCTATGGCCTTGATCTCAGCAATAACAGGTTCAGTGGCACTATACCAAGTGATTTTGGCAGTAGGCAATTTGTGACCATTGTGTTGGCCAGCAACAGCTTCTCGGGAGAATTTCCTTTGACATTTTGTCAGCTGGATTCTCTGGAAATCTTGGACCTGTCAAACAATCATCTCCATGGAGAGATCCCTAGTTGCCTATGGCACTTGCAGGACCTGGTATTCATGGATTTGTCATACAACTCCTTTTCTGGGGAGGTTCCTCCGATGTCGGCTTACCCTAATTCATCATTGGAATCGGTGCATCTTGCTAACAACAACCTCACTGGGGGATATCCAATGGTCCTAAAGGGATGCAAGTGGCTAATAATTCTAGATCTTGGTGGCAACCATTTTACTGGCACAATTCCCTCATGGATTGGAACTTGCAATCCCTTACTGAGGTTTCTCATTCTGCGATCTAATGTGTTCAATGGGAGTATCCCGAAGGAACTATCACAACTCTCCCATCTTCAATTGTTGGACCTAGCTATGAACAATTTAGTAGGTTCGATACCGAGAAGTTTTGGAAATTTTACATCCATGATACAACCAAAAACTGAACTGAACTTGCCTTGGAAAGTCCAACACCACATTTTGGATGGGCGTGTTGATTACACATACACAGACCGAATTGGCATAAACTGGAAGAGGCAAAACCAAACTTTCCAAGGAACGGTTGCACTCATGGCAGGTATTGATCTATCAAGCAACTATCTCTCCAATGAGATTCCTTCGGAGTTGTGCAATCTTGAAAGCATGAGGTTCCTAAACTTGTCGAGAAATCATCTATCTGGCATTATTCCTAAAGAGATTGGCAATTTGAAGATCCTCGAGTCTCTTGATTTTTCTTGGAATGAACTCTCCGGCTCTATTCCTTCAAGCATCTCAAATTTGATGTCTCTTAGTTCACTAAATTTGTCCAACAATCATTTATCAGGTGAGATACCATCTGGTTATCAACTCCGGACGCTTGCAGATCCATCAATTTATAGCAACAACTTTGGGTTATGTGGCTTCCCATTGAACATTTCATGTTCAGATGGTTCAAATTCTACATCAGCATTGATAGGGGGAAGTACAGACAGCCAGGAACTTGAAATCCTAAGCTGGTTTTACTCCGTATTAGCTGGGCTGGTCTTCGGATTTTGGCTGTGGTTCGGGGTACTGCTTTTGTTTGAGCCTTGGAGATTTGCCTTTTTTGGCCAAGTTGATCATCTACAAAAGAAGATTATGCAAAAGATTTGTTGCATGTATGCAAAATCTGAATAATTACCAACTATTCATGTAACTCTGTGGAGGTGTGATCATCAGGAGAAGTAAAGGAAATGTGCTCTTGTCATTCTGGCGTGAAATAATTGCAATAGTTCTTTAGCTGAAGATGCAGAGGTGGAGAAGGTTTGAGTTTAGCTGTATAATGCTACTGGGGAAAATAACCTACACGAGGCGTCACCTCAAAAGTTAAAAGAGGATGAGGAGAGAATAATAGGGAACCATTGATTATTACTGTGTGAGGAGACTATTGGAAAAGGATAAAAGTGGTTGTAAGTTATTCAAGCATCATAAGTTGTGTCTCGGTAATAATCAATTTGGCATCCAGTGCAGCCTCATCTTTTCGTTTATACTTATGCTTATAAGCCAAAATTTGAATTTTCGACCTTAAATTTGAAGCTGATTTTGGGGTTTTTCATCGAAGTTTATTTTTCAGCTTTTGCTTTTAGGTCGCTAAGAACACGTATATAAAAGTTTAATTCACAAATTACTTCTTGTTTGCAAATATGCCGTTTGGCTTATTCCACGAATAAGCCAAACACTGTAGCAGTTGCTGTAGCCACAGTTGGATCCTGATTGGATGGTCTAGATATTGCATAGTTACTATTCAGTACAGAAGCATAACAGTAGTACGTAGCGTAGCATTTACTGTTAATATAGCCAGCAGATACTAGTAACAGCAAACATTATATGTATATGGTGCCTATCACGAACTTTGACCATTATAAGTTTATAACGACCAGCTTGAGCACTCAATTTTTCACATAGAAAGGTTTATTGTGACACAGGTGACATGTAAATTACTAATATAACAGGCTAACTAAACTCAAATCAAACAGGCACCTAACGTAGTTTATCAGATTATGCGATTTTCTCTATATGGATAACATCAACATGACTCGAAACCACACATCTTCTGTACATAAAAGTTCTTTATATGACCTTAATCTCCTTGAGCCAAGCTGTGTGGAGTGGGCATGGATCCGGCTTTCCTTGTGCAAGCGCCTTTTCGGTGAGAGAGTAAAACCATCCATTCCTCCACTTGAACTGCTCCATGGAAAGCTTACATTTTAATTTAAAAGGCACTAGAATAGGCAATGTTTAATTGTTATATAGATAGCTTATGATAGGCAGGACTTGCCTCTTTTACAGCAGTTGGGAAGTGTGCAACAGCTCTGGAGTATGCGCAAAGTCTCTCTTCTATGCCTGCATCAAATGTAAGCCCCCTTTCTTCAGCTGCAGCAGATGCTAATTCTGCTATCAGGCTGGCAACCTGTGAGAACAAAATATAAATGAATATGTTTTTTTTTTATGTTGTGAACCTTGATTCACACAATTGGGATAGTATTCATCGAAGAGAGATTAGATGGTGGCAACTTAAAGTAAAAATGGCGGCTAGGCAAAGTAGCACACCGGTTGGGGACGTAGGTCAAGAATAACCTAGAGTTTAGAGACAGGGGACTTGTTTGTTTACTCATGTCTGGTCAATGAGAAGAGATTTAGTCCTTCCTTTTATAGATGAGATGACTTGATTCACAAGAAATTTATCTATAAAACTAAGGACATAGTTAACAAGAGTAGATATAATCTTATCTCTAAGATAACAAACACCTCACTGGTTACTATTGGTCACGTGTGAACACTATTCCTGCTCTTGACAAATCCTGTCTTGCACGTAAAACTGTGTCTCTATCTTCAGGCACTCCCATCAAAATTACCAAAGTAAACTAAATCATAAATAGCTATTATCTTAAGTGGACGAATAAAGTATGGAAGACAATAGACAATTTTATGCAGGAAGTACAATCAGGAAATAATGATTTCATTTTTCTTTTTGCTTGCAATTAATATATGCCTTGGTAGAAACCAGCATATTGCAGAGGATCTCGAAGATTCTGTGTTATGACAAGAAGGGATTCCTCACAAATTTGTTGTGTTGGGAACTTACTGCCTTCTAAGCTTCAAATTAATGGAGAGAAAGAAACACAGAATATATATTAAAGTTTAAGGAATAAGGGTTACCTCAGATTGGTATTCTTTCTCGACCGCACCAACAGTAGCTCCTGGATGACGGGCACCAACAAGCATGAATGCTGAAATCCAGATCAGTTTCTCTAGCATTTGCTTCTGAAATGCTTCTTTTTCAAGTACCTGATTTTCCAGTGGGCAATCACAACAGGATTACTTACAACTAATGGATATGCTTGTCAGTATATAACAGCACAGGGTTCATTATTTTTTGTTGACCGTTGGAATTTTGTTCGTTTTATTTAAAATCTTACACATGACATGACAAGAATATATTGTTAATCAATTGAGTATTTTATGACGTGCACGCACTGTCCATTACAATGTGCTGTAAGCACAAACAAAGATGTGAGTGCATTTTTGCTACGCACTTTGTTATCAATGGTCCTTCACCTTACTGTGCATTTACAGTCAAATCTTAGTAGAAATGATGGTAATCTGTGATGAAGGCATGCAGAATTGCAATTTATGAGCATCAGCTAGAAGTACAACTAATGTAACTGTGTAAACCCACCTTGCAGGTAAGCCCGCCATTTTGCAGGCGAGTAGCCACGGCTGGAGCCCAGTTTCCAAATGCAGCAGTCAGCCCCTCGGGATTAGTGTCAGTAATCCCATCCACTGGTGGCTCACCAAGCTTCGACACGGCAAAGTAGGCCAACACCTGGTTCGCATCCACTAGTCCCTTGCTCTCAAACCAAGGGTCCAACATTCCATTCTGGAAAAACACCAAATCTGCTCTAGTGTTAGCTCAGAAAGTACCAGCACACTGCACACACCAATACTGGGAGGGAAATGGGCTCATGCTACATCAGCTCATACATAAGAAGAAAGTGAACACTTATACTATTTAGGAAGGATGACGTTCGTAGAAATGTATTGACAACTGTGCTAAGGATTAAACTTCTGAAGCACTATATGTCTGTTTGTCTAATATCCAATATCCGGAATTCTGAGCATTCTTGTTTTTTTTTTTTTTTTTGAAACCTACTGAGCATTCTTGTCAGTTAGCTGATCCAATCTGAAAGTCACCAAACGAATTTGCTTTACAATCGCGTTCATAATACATCAACTATGACCAGCTTTCCCAAGACCACCCATTCGAGAAATAGATCCGGACTTTTTTTCCATTGGACTATCGGGCATCAGTTAATAGCAAACTCTATACTAAACAAAAAGAAGAACTGAACTGAACTCAACTGCTAAGCAAGTTTGAGAAATTGGGTTCAACAACAATACTCCAATTCACGGCACAACTTGGTTAAATTCGTCCAAGCCGTCCGCATTTTCGGGTGAAAACGAAGCGATGCACCACAGGCACCAATCAAACGCATACTGAGTTACTGACGAACGACCTGAATCGCAGAGCAGCTAACAAGCAGAAGCAATGCAGAGCAGGAGACGGCGCGGCTGCCAGGCGGGAGACGGAGAGGAGAGGAGAGGAGAGCCGGGAGAGGGACGAACGTACCGCGCCACCGCGACCTCGGGGTGGCGTCGAGCACGGCGTCGAGGTCGTCGTTGCGGGTGCAGACAAGGATCGGGCCGGGCGCGTCCTCCGGCACCTTCTCGCCGCGGCCGACGAGCACGTCCGCTCCCGGCGGGCCCATGGAGAGCAGCGCCTGCCCCACCCGCCCCCCGCCCACCACCACGGCCGGCTGCACCGCCGTCTTCGCGGCCGCCGCCATCGCCGCCGCGGACACCCTGAAGCTGAAAGCCCTCGTCGTCGTCGAGGAGGAGAGGCGGCGGAGAGGGGTGACGGCGAAGGGGACGGAGACGGCGGCTGTGAGGGCCATTTGGAAGAGGCTTTGAGTTGGGGCGGGGTTGAGAGGTGACGGCGTTTGGTTTTGGGTGGGGAGGTTGCCGTTAGGCGGCAAACGGGAGCCACCCGATCTGTGGATGGGCTTATCTGCTCGGTTTGTGGTCGCCGTTGGCTGGGCCTGGATAATAATTTGGTTGGGCTTTCGTTCCACTTTCTTCTGTGGAAAAAGTACACTGAAGGTCCCTCAACTTATCACCGAGATTAAAAAACGTCCTCGAACCGCAAAACCAGATATCGAAGGTCCCTTAACTTACCAAAACCGGTGATAATAGGTCCTTCGATGGTTTTGAGCCCGGTTTTAGCCTACGTGACAGCTGAGTCAGCGTGGGCCCCACGTGTCAAGTTGCCACGTCACATCTCTCTCCCTTCATGGCTTCACAGGGAGGAGGAGTCAGGGGGGTCCCACTTCCTTTTTCTTTCCTTTCTCTTTTAATTTTGTCTCTTTCTCACGGTTTCTTCTCTTTGCCGTTCTCTTTCTCTCTCTGCCTTTTTTTCCTCCTCACGCACGCTGTCACGCGCGCGCAGCAAAGGATGGGCGCCGGCGACGCAGGTGATGGCCGGCGGCGGTGGGGAAGAGGGGGCCGACAGCGTGGAAGGGGGAGAGCTTGGCGGCAGGGAGAGAGAGCCTGGTGGCGGCGCGGTTGCGCGCAGGAGCCACGCGTAGGAGGAGAGAGGCTGCGCGGTGCGGCGGCTTGGTAGGGCGGCCGGGAGGCGGCGCAGAGGGGAGGAATCGGGGCGGCGCCGGGCAGAGGAGGGAGGGAGGGAAGGGAGTGGCGCCGGGAGGAGAAGGTCAGGGCGCCGATTGGAGGGGGCGCCAGCGGCGGCGTCGGCTCCGCTTGGGCAATGGCCGAGCGCATCGGCGCGGCGCGGCGATCGGCGCCCGAGGGGAAAGGGGTGGCTACACGGCGGCGCACATCTAGGCGCAACAACGGTTTGGGGGTGGATGAAGACAAGTAGACGACGACAATGGCGGCTTCAGTACCGGAGGCGGAGGTGGTTGCGGGCGCGCGCAGGCGGGGGAAGCAATTGCACGGGGGACGGCCGGCGGGCGCAAGCGGCGGGGGAGGAGCGGCGTGCGGGCGGGCGCTGGCGGCGGGGGAAGCAGCGGCCCGTGCGGTGCCGCTCCACTGCCTTCTCCATCCTCCTCGAGCTCATCCTCTCTCGCCCATGCCCCTGCCACCGCTGGCAAGGAGAACAGCTCGCCGCCGCCGGCGAGGTCGAGGACGAAGTGGACCGCTGCTGGCCGCCCTGAGAGAGAGAGGAGGAGGAGGAGGAGGAGGAAGGGAGCGGCGATCCTGCTGCTCGTCACCGTCAGGTTCCCCGCCGGCGTCATGCGGCGGGTCATGAAGCGGCGGCGCAAGAGCCGAGGCCGCCGCAGGGGGCGGTGGGGCTGCAGGAGGGCCGCCCCGGACGAGTCGCTGTCGGGGAGTGCCAAGGCGATGACCGCGGCCGCGTCAACGTTCGATATGATGGACGACAAGGCGGCGTCGGCGGCGGAGTGGGGGCGCGGCTAAACTGACGCGGCCGAGGCGGCGTCGGAGCTGGAGCTCGAGATGATGCGCTCCCGGTTCTACAGCAGCGGCTTCTAGCGGAGCCCCTCCTCCGCCTCCGGCTCCAGCTCCCGCGCCTCCTCCCTACGCCGGAAGATGACGACGATGAGGCTGGCGTCCTCCGCCCTACGCCGGAAGATGACGACGATGAGGCTGGCGTCCTCCGCTTGGCTCCGCCGCCCCGCCGGCTTCGGGTGCCGCCACTCCGCCCGCGTGTCCGCTCATCGCTGCCCCACTCCGTCCCACCAGCTTCGCGTGGCGATGGTGACTCAGCAACGAAGACCAAGGTCAAAGCGCCACGGTGGACAAAACCAGCGCCACGTAGGATAAAACCATGTGAAATACTGCCTTGGGACCACTTGTGACTGGTTTTAGTAAATTAAGGGACCCTCGATATCTGGTTTTGCAGTTTGAGGACGTTTTTTTATCTCGGTGACAAGTTGAGGGACCTTCGGTGTACTTTTTCCTTCTTCTGTGCTATGTGTTGTTGGGCTGGGCTGTAATTTGTTGTGTTTGAAGCCCATCCAAATTTCGTTACGAATCCAAGCAATATTAAAGGCCCTGTTTTAAAAGAGTTGGAGGTGCTACAAAACCATAGAAAAAGCGGAGATTCGTGAGATTTCTGGTCACTAATTTGGCTCATTTATGAATTTACAGCTAAAGTTTCACGTAAACATGGCTAAAGTTACACGAACAAAACCGGAAGAAAGCTTGCAAAACATAAATTTAATCAAAACACCCGAATGCCGAATTGGGCCAATTGGGGACTTTAAGAAAGCTGAGAAAGGTAAAATAAATTGCAAACCGAAGGGGTGAAACTGAATAGACCATATCCATTATTGAATAATCAAAACCTAAACCCTAAACCAGTGAGCTATCACTATCAATGTCAGTGGTTAAGCAGGGGATGTGTGATGGATCTGGAGCTCCAGTGGAGTGTCATGGATCTTCTTAGCATCCAAACAAAGCCTAACCCCATAATTAAGTCCCTGGTGACAGCAAATCCAAACAGCATCTATCATCGGTGGTTGCAGTGGTCACAAGATTATGCATCTTGCTTAGTGTCTGACATGGCAAGACGACAGAAGCATCTTGTTTCAGTTGGCCCTCCACTGTCTGCACTACTATCTGTCAATAGATTTGAGCCACTTCTGCTATCTTTCAATTGTATATATCTTGAAATGAAACAATTACTAGATTACTACTTCCCCCGTCTTATAATATAAGGGATTTTGGGTTGATATGACACATTCTAGTACAACGGATCTAGATAGACCGTCTGTCCAGATCTATTATACCATATATCACATCCACCCAAAATCTCTTATATTATAAGACAGAGGGAGTATATTTTAGGACGAGAGAGTAAGTAGGAGGTAGTATATTTTAGGACGAGAGAGTAAGTAAAAGGACTGGCATCCCTCATTAAACCCTGTCCCATGGGTTTTCAGAGATTACCAAGGAGAGTAAAATAAGACGTCCCTTATTACGGGTATGAGGCACAAATTTTTTTATATTTTAAGATAAATTTTAAATGCTTGGATTGCTTATACTTCCTCCGTTTCACAATGTATATAAATATGAGTAATGCTAAAAAGTTTTACATTGTGGAACTGAGTATTATGGAACAGGGGAATAGTACCTTTTGATAGAACCACTTTTGCTGCTGTACGGCAGAAGACTGAACACAAGCACCACTACTTTGAATCGTTATTACAAAACCACCACTAGAAAATTGCAAAATACCACTAGAACTGTCATTCGAGTGGCATCCTTGCAAAATTGGAAAAACCGGAGGCAAATTTGCAAATGCCCCAAATTTTACAGTAGATATACAGCCTGACGATGACGAGGCGAACATCCGCAGCATCTCAAGAAAAGAGATAGAAACCCAAAAATGAACCAAAGAACAAGCTAAGATTGTGAAATTTCTTGGTAATCACTACTAACACTTGATAGTATCATGCAGTTTCAAATGAATTACAGTATGCCAGGATGGAGACAGTATCAGGGTCTCCTGGATGGATTAGTAATGGCATGGTGTTTTTAGTACACCATGACAAAAAATAATATGATGACCTACCTTGTACCGTTTACACAACATATAAATTCTCTCTATCACTAGCAGATTTGTTGCAACTATTGAATAGCAGGTCTCTCAACAAAGTACAACATGAATACAAAGCAATACATCCACCACAAAATATACAGATTCAATGTATGAAGAATAAGCTGTGGGTGACCTGAAGAGCGCATTGTAAGCCTCAGTAACTTGGTCTTCGAGAGTATGCACGACAGCGCTAGAAAAATTTCAATTTTCCATGTCGAAGAGCAGATTTTGCCCGACATACAGCCTTTTCAGTGCCCGCTAATCCAGAGCAAGCATCAGGTGCCCCCAAGGTAACTGCAAAGTACAGATAGATGGTGCACAGAAAGACCAGAACCACTAGTGTTGTCAAGAGGAAGCGATGCCGCTCAACCAGTGCAGACCAACTGCCAACATCATCCTTCGATGATTGAAGCTTCTTTGGGGATGATAGAAAAAATGTGTTCTGTGACCTCCTGTGAGGAGATGATAATGAATCAAGAACCATGGTGGCGACAAGCTGACTTGTTCAAATCCTGTCCAATAGAAAAATAAAATAAAAAAGATGAGGAAACACATATATTCTCAAACTAGTACTACATAGTACATACTAGCTAGAAAGATTGCATTATGAAAATAACATGCTTCAAGGCTTCAAGCATTCAATTCAACACACATATGCCTATATGGCGCGATAATAAATTAATAGGTCAACTCAACAAGAACTCAATTGCAAGTTGCCACTGAAAAATTATGCTTGGCGAGATACATCTTAAAGAAATATGATATGCACATGTGTTGATTACCTAAAGCTAAACTGAAACATCGCCAATAATAACAGTAACAGTTTTACTAAATTATACCGTCTTAGTCTAGATATCATCAGTAGCAAGCTCCATACGTCTTGATCTTACTCAAGGAAATTATCATTCAAGTTTTTACCAAGAAAGCAAAAATAAGTCCACTTCTAAATTACAGTAGACCTTTAATAATGGACAAATAGTTGAATCAACACTTCTGAATACTGGAAACAAACAATTATCCTCTACTGTACGAATATTACATGACATTAAAGGGCATGGACCTGTCATACTATTACAATGGTTCATTAAAATACCTATCCAACCTAAAACATACAAAAACACTAATGTTACACACATTCACATTTTTCAAGCATGCACCTGCCAATCAATAACATATGTTAAATGAGATTATTCTAAAAATGGTTTGGTTCATTATGCAAACACAATGTGCATGAATATTGACAAACATCCATATCTTCTTCATTACATGGCTTTGCCTAGTTATATTTCCATTTTTTTAATAAATAGAGAAGCATCTTATTCTAACATAAATCTGGAGCATCATATTATTTTCCATCAATAGGAAAAAATCATTGTATATCAGCTCCCATGGCAGTGAACAAGTGATAGGATTATGCCTTTTCTGTTACCAGCACATACTGAAACACAAGTACATCAGCATATTGTAAATTTGTCAAATATATCCTCGTCATCACATTGTCCAAACGCTTCAAATATGTTATATTGTAAATTTGTAATCAATGATAGCTCATACTGAAACACTAAATACATCACTGCAATGAACAAAAAACACAGAGATACTATCACACTATTCAACTAAATCTGCAGCCAAGCTCTAGATTCCTCTGTCAGGTCGGGAAATAATGATATAGCTGTTCTAGGCCATAATTTGTAGCTACATCTAAGTCCAAGTTAACAAATTCAGCTATTAGAACATAGGAAATTCAAACATACTACTCTACCAATCCATCTGGCCATTAATACATGACAATTAGGACTACCAAACCATATATGACCTTAACACGAGCTTCAGATGAGGGGAAAAAGTCAGAACAAAAAACATAGTGGAACAGAACCACCAGTCACCACACATGAGCCATTTTCTCTCTGCCTCGACCGTGGAATTTCCATAGGTGGAACAATGGAACCCACAGCGTTCATCAGTGTGCACTCTGTACTGAAAACGACCCATCATGCGGCATTATCCCTATCCCTGTCAACAGTGGAACCGCATAAACCTCACTTGTGATTGAATTCTTGAAGAAATCTTCCTTTTCTTCACTGATGATGGCTCCAGATCCAGGCAAGAAACTCATCTCCTGCTACAGTTCAGTGCTGAACCGCATGCCGGTTCCTGCCAATTGGTAAACATGCTCGGACCAAGAATCAACATGCCAATCCTCTGTCCCTCCAATTCCAGAAACTCACAACTCGTTGAATCCCCAAACTTTTTGGGGGAACAAACAAACTGTTACTGGTATTAAGGTTAAGGCTCTCTGTAAAATTAACAAGAGAAGAGCTTCTTCCAGATCTAGAAGAGAAGGAACGCAAGCAAATTCTAGACAAAAGTACTCCCGGTGGGACAGAGATGAATCAGAAAGAGGATGTGGATGCTCACCAGGATCCCCTCCCCTCCCCTGTTCAGCCGCGACTCGTCTTGGGAACAAGGAGCGGAGGAGACGACACCGGAGATTTTCTTTTACGCCAAGGGAAAGGGGGAAGATACGCGAGGGCAACTTCTATAATACGATATTTCGGAATGTTCCGTCTAATTTTGGAAATTTTCGTTCTAGGTGTACTTGATGGTGACAAAGTTAAGCAAAATACGATGACATTTTTTTAAACTTGATAAATTCAGTGCCATATATTATCCAAATTAAAGAAAACGAAGAACACGCATTGGGCGGGCAATGCGAGGTACGAGCTACACTACGCATCTAATCTGAAAAATAAAATAAAATACTAAAATCAAGGGGATCAAGCAGCCATCCTACCCACTGCCACCACCGCACCACAAGAAGGGTCAGCCTCACGGCAGCGAAATCCCCGATCGACCAAGAACAGGTAGGGGAAAAGAAGAAGAAGAAAAGAAAAAAGAAAGAAAACAAAGGCAAGAAAGATGGTCAGATCCGAGGAGAGAAAACGGGAGATGATCGAGCGCTCACCTCAGCTGGTCCCGATCCGAGGAGCCCTTGTTCCTCCTCCTTGCGCGCGCTCCCTCTCTAGGAGGATGGATGGGCGGAGAGAGGGAGAGGGAGACGCGGTTTGTGCCTTTGTGGGAGAGAAAAATGAGAGGAGAGAGAGAGAGGGTGGGTTAAAAATGGAGACGAAGGTGGTATTGCATTGGACTAATTTATTTATTGCAATTGGTTTCTTCCTATTTAGCGAGAGCTTATTTGGTTTCGAGCCAGTTATATTTTTTAAATATTAGAAAAAAAACAAATACATTGCAACGGGGAAAGTTATTTTAATCTTACTATTATTTTATGATTTAGTTGAGTTGAAATTTCACTGTGAGAATTCTCTTAGACCCATATTTTTTTTAGAAAATCATGAGCTGCAACTAGGAGTTCGATAGCCTCAAGTTAGCATGCAAGTTTTTTTAAAGAGATCTTATACGACTCCTTGTGTATTTACAAAAGCGAATAAACTTAAAAACAAACTCAAATACGGATATGTATTTTCAAAATGTAAACGAAGTTAAAACCAACTCATACACGGATGACATACTAAAGTACCGGCAAAAATATCTTCAATTTTTATAATAGTAGAGATTAGTAAGCTTTTGTATAACCAAAATTAGTATTATTCAATTTGAACTACTTTGAGCGAAAATTCGTATCGAACCAAATATTCGAGGTCAGCAATATTTCGGATGGATAAAAATTAGCCTGAATCTAAACAACCATTTATTACGGATAGGCCCTTTCTAGGATTGTTGTTGTGTTCTCTCATGTTTCTTTCTGCCAATTCTCTTTGCCTTTATTTTGTTTGGTAAACAATGCTTAAGAAACAGACAAAAGTAATGTTTGAGAAATTATTGGGTATGAACTTCAAGGCTGCTAGTTGATGGCTTGGTTTCTTGTAGGCAAATGGGCATACGTGGTCGTGTAACCGTGTTTAATTAGATGACACTTTTGTGACGTACTGTCTCTACATGAATATAATTATTTTTGGGTTATTTAATAAAGATTAAGGTTGATAAAACTTTGTACCTCACTTTAAATGAGTGATGATTAGAGATGAGAAGGTGATTGAGGTAAGATAAAAAAATTAAATAATACTGATTGATAGGATAAGTAGTTCTCTAAGAATTCTTGTATTTATGATTAAATTTTAAATGCTTGAAATACTTATATTTATAGATAGAAAGGGTATTTTATCTATACCATTAACATGTCAAAGACAATTCTGAGAAACATCACGAATTAGGGTTGTGTATATGTAAGTACTAAAATGCTACTTGTTGGTATGATTAGCCTTCTTGCTGGCTTGTTTTGTCTATTTTCCTTGTTGGTTCTGTCATAAGACATACAACCATAAGTTTATTTTTAAAAAATAAAAATAAAAATAAATTAAAATGAGAAATAAGGTGATGAGACATATCCCCAACCCCCTTTATTATTGACTAGCATTGAACCACATAGTTTTTTAAACTAGCAATTCTAATAAAACTACACTATTTATAGTGGAATAAGAGACCCTTGACCACCGATTCGAGTGTAGTACCATCACGCATGTGCGTATCAAAGGCTATTAAAACTTCTTACAATTTCTGGGGAAGTGGGGGACAAAATACAAAATTGCAAATACCAAGTATAACTGCAAAATGCATAGAGAGCAGACAATTGCTAATACTATAAGCATCTTTTTGAGTTGTTTATTGGGGAAGTTTGGTCTGTACGCAGTTGAATGCCCTTATATATCAAATATTCCGTACTTATTTTGGACCAGTCAAACTTTTTTTTGGCAAGTCCATTGTTTATTTTATCACATTCTGGTGAAGTGGTCAACACAATACAGCTGACCAAGACATAATTTGAATGCCCCTATATACCAGACAATAATGCTTAATAAACTTTTCTAAGCCCTTTTTTTTAAAAGGATAAAGAAGAAGAGATGCATCATATCACAAAGATGCAAGCCACGGAGTTTATAATGATTTATGGCTTTTACGGAAAGGAAATTCTAGCTGGTCGACAAAGAGGTGGCCAACCCATGTTTGCCTGTTTGGAGACGGGATTTTCTCATAATGCTACTACCTCTTTTTAAAAATTGTAATTACTGTTGATTTTTAGCATGCCATTTGACTATTTGTAATGTTAAAAATATTATTTACATTATTTTTTTGTGACTTCTTTTATTACTAAAATTATCACTCATATATTTTGCATATTTACACTGATTTTTTAATAAGATGAGTAGTCAAACATTGGGTTTATGTCAACATTATATTGCATTATTATTTTCACCTGCTTCACCAAATTATTGTCACAGATTATTTTTTCCATGTTTCCTTATAAAACTTCCTTCCACTGTTTTATTTAGATGTCTTAGAAGCTATCAGTTACATTTATTTATCAAAATATTTAGTCTATTTCTAAAATAGTGTAGTTAATAATCCACTTATAATTTGGCCAATAATCTGTTTCAAGCTAGGTTGAGGGAGTAATTATCTGATAAGTTGACCACATTTTAGATGATTAGAAATGTTTAGATAATAATTGTTTTTTTAATTTTAATACTATGCTGGTAATTCCATTTTAGAGAGATATTATCTAAGTTCGGTGTAAATTTTACCCCTCGGAGAGAGATAGGGAGAGGGAGATATGAGAATTATCAAGCTAATAAAAACTCAACAGAGTTTTTTTTTTATACCTCATAAGTCATAAAAGACTCATATTAATTATATTTATTGTTGTTAATTAAATTGTGGTGCGATAAAAAAAAGGGAGAAGAGTCTCTATAAAAGCACCGACATCTGGAGGAATGTTTTGGTCCGACTCCAACATATATCGTGTGGGTCACTGGGTCACTGGCTCACTCAGTCACTCCTTGGGGAAGCAAGCGACTGCAGTGACCTAACCTTTCGGTGCACCAAGATGCGCACACTAGTGCTAATTAAGCTCGATTTATCACTAACTTGGTGCTAAACTGCAGCATGCATTTGCTTACTGTCAGTGATGATGCCACCATTGCCAGCTGTGTTTGTTTCGTTATGCAAATTTAATTATGCACAGCAACTCCTATATATGAACTTGTCTACCATGCAGAGTTGCATATTAGAATAACTCTCTAATGCTCTGTTCGTTTGGGCAGGTTCCCAACTCCTCCTCCTCGTCTTCCGCGCGCACGCTTTTCAAACTGCTAAACGGTGTATTTTTTTGTAAAAAATTTCTATACGAAAGTTACTTAAAAAAATCAGATTAATCCATTTTTGAAAGCGAGATCGACTAGATGAGAGTGACAACAATTCCGACATCAGAAGCCGCGATCGGTAACATGAACTCATTTAAGCAGAAGTCGGGAGCTACTATCAGGGTTACGGATAAGGTATACCCTCTATCATTGGATGTGCGTTGTACACTGATACGGTATACCCGCGCGTATACGGATAGATTCCGTATACATTAAGAAAATCTATCACGTGATAGGGATGGTATCTACGGATGGAAGGAGTTCTACTCAGACAAGACTGGGTCTTTACTGTATCGTGAGGGGTACGATATCTCTGAGTCCTACTTGGAGATCAACTGACCCGCGGTATATAAGGGACCCCCTGGGTAGGACCTAAGACATCGAATATCACCGCCAATACACCCACCATAGCCTACGGAGCCGGAGCGTGCAGGAGCCAAGTCGTCGGGAGATCTAGTCGGACCAACTTGACTACGGTCTCGTCGGTATCATCGAGTTCTGCTATTCCCTTTGTAATTTGTGGTTTCCATCATATAATCTCATATCAAATGGATTAGGGCTATTACCTACCAAGGAGCCTGAACCAGTATAATCCTTATCTTTTATTTGCTTGATGTCGTACTACGTCGATCCTCGTACCAACGGACCCCAATACCCTTTATATCCGGTCTACGGGTATCCCTTGTCGACAGTGGCGCATCAGGTAGGGGAACTTGGTGCTCAAGGTTCTACTATTATGATTTCAAGCCTTCTCGACGATAGCGTCAACACTGGCATCAACCAAGGAGCTTCAACTTCGACGATGCTGGTGTGGACTCAAGTCGGCGAAATCGTCTTCCCGCTCTACACCACAATGCCAATCTCGACTGGCCCAGCAATTATCGGGAGCGAGAACGGCGTGGTTACGACCCCGGTTGACTCCATGTCAAAAGATCCTCCCGCAGAAGTGGAGAACGGAGAATCGACAACATCCAAGCCTGAGAAAGATCCTAATGTGGTCAAATCTTATCCTTCCCACAAGAAGTACGAGCCGACAAGGACAACTTCCGGGGCGACAAAAGCTTGGTGTCCCATCCACAGGACTAGCAAGCACACCTTGCAAGCTTGTTCGGTTTTCCTCAACGTACAAGCTGAAGTCCGTGCCTGCAAAGAGCGTGGAATTCAACGTACTTCTCCAACTCATGATGTCTATTGTCCCATCCACAAGGCAAAGACTCACGACCTCTCCAGCTGCAAGGTCCTTCTCAGCGCCATTAAGACGTCACCCCCTAAGGTCCAGCGGTCACGAATCTCTCCTAGAGATGAGGACAAGGAACAAGGTGCGGCGACTACATCAGATCGATTCGTCAGGGTAATCGATATCGATCCCTATGAGCCATCTGTCCTACATCTGCTCGAAGTCCAGGCCTCATCATCGACAAGTACACCACGCGACGTGTATGCTATCGATGGAACCAACACATCTGGAGGCGGCCACACGGGAACGGCGGATCAATCGGTTACACCGACACCGGCCCAACATATCAGAACCCTCAATGCGATATTGAACGAAAGCCCTTTCGATCCCGTCCTGAACACTGATCTTGATCAATGGGCAGAATGACTACGGGAATCAGTGGCTAACTTCAATAACGCGTTCGCAGAGGCCGCCGCCAGGGCACCACCAGAACAACCGCCGACCGGCGGCGCTAATGGGGAACAGCCTGATCAGTGGA